GGCACAAATGGACATTGGACAAAAGTGCTCTTTGGCCAAAGAAACGTTTCTCTTCTCTCCGTCTTTGACCAAAGATTTCCTTTGGGACCCTTTGGAGAACGGAAATTGTTTTTCCACCATTTTGACGGAACAACGCTGAATCAATAAGAACGCCACACACAAAATAACTACCTTCTTAGTTAACTACCTGAAGCTTGGACTTTGATCATGTAACAGGCACCGAACCATAAGGGTTCCTAGGTCCTTAGAGACATAAGTCAAAATGTCTTTTATGTAAAAATGTGGGTCTAAAATGACACAAACACTAAATCACCACCTTCCCCATGCTATAGCTCATCTCCCTCATGACATCCTTTGCTGATCAAATATTCTCCAGAGTAATGAACGAGAGGCACATGGTCTCTGATCTGTAATGAAGAGGGTGATGGGACGGTCAAACACAGTTGAAGGGCACCAGGTTGGTCTTCTCTTTTCTGAACACCAACCAGCAGAAGAACATGAACTGTAAACCCTTAAAAAAAAATAAAACAGGTGCCCTCTCTTGGTTTTCAGAAGATTTTTTTAAACATTTTTAGAAAGGGTCCCCGAATAAATCACCTCCCACGAGGATTGCTAGGTCAGTAACATCCCATTCCCCGTGGTTTCAGAGCCAAAGTCCAAGACCTTGAAGAAGCCCCTTGTGATGTCACAAGGGTGGTGGTTTGTCAAATTGCTGGGGCCGACCATTTGCGAACAAATTCGAGCTGGAGCAAAACTGATGAATCAGTATTGTAGAAACTATATGATTAACGTCATTGCTGCAGGGCATGCAAGAGAATAAAAAGCCAAAAGTTCTTCCAAACACCACACATCTAGAAGCCGTGAGAACGGACCCTAAAATCTGGGTTGCCAGGTTGGCAGCGTCTCATTCTCTGAGATTCAATAATCATCATAATAATAACCTTGGAATTGTAGAGCTGGAAGGGAAAACAATGGATCATTGAGTCCCTGTCAAGAAGGCACAGCAGGGAATTGAACTTGCAGCCTCAGGCTCCAGATGCCTAAGCGTGAAATCTGGGGAACTGATCCCGAGAACTCGGTCGCAGAATGAAAACTAGCGACCTGGCAAGCCAACTTCCCGTTGATATAACAGTTCTGAGGTGCTGCTGGCTTGTAATGTCCTGCACATGCACACCCTTGCAAAAACTCCCCCCTCAAAAACTACAACAACAACAAAAATGGGGGAGGGGGAGAAATAAACGAAAGGTGGAATGAGTGGTTGCATCGTCGACTTGTTTTTTTAAAAAAGCCAGGGATTGCCCTATTAAGTCAACCGACATTTTAACTGTAACCTGATTCACACTTGAATCAGAATGTCGTTCTTTCGTGATCGATACCATTTTGTCTCCATTTCAAATTCACAGATGACCAAAGCCTCAAAGAGTAGCACTGTGATTGAGCTGACAGGGTCGCCAGGGTCTGTAATAGGTTTACAAAAGACTTCCCAAGCCTTCGATGTGTTTCAGTCATGATCCAGCTAAAGGTGGCCATATGTTAACAGCCAAGCTTGGGGGGGGATGCATTAAGGGGAACTACGATGCCTAGAGTCCCCGATAGGATAGTGGGAACGTTTCTGTGCTCCAGGCCTGAACTAATTATAATGGAAATCAACTGAAGACACCCTTCCTTTCTTGATCGTGGCTACCTTTTACTGGGTTGTATTCTGTGTTTTCTATATAATGATCTGCATGCATGAAGCCCCTTCCTACTGTATATGGTGGTACAAAACATAGAGTGTGATGTGTCCGTAAATTTAATGTGTCCTATTGTCTCCGAAATGCATGTTGATATTATATTGAGTATTTCATGCCAATGATGATGATGTGTGCTGCTACATATGCCATCCCATTGCTTCAGAGCCATCTTGCAGAGTGATTGATATTCCATCCGTGTAGTCCCAAGCCTTTCCAATGTCGACCAGGATCAAGTCACTTGACCTCATTGGGTTCTTGACCAAAATCTGATGGCGACCTAAACCATACAGTATTATTTTGTGTGCCTGCTAGTTAAAATGAGATGTATTCCTCATTGATCCTATTTGGGCCTCATGAAAAAAACAGAAAGTATGCAAAGAAGTCCAAAGATAGGGTTGGGAAGGAAAACAAGGATTGAATTTAAGATGGGTGAATGAAAGTGTGGCCCTCCACACAGCTACTGGATTTCCAGCACTCATGATCCCTCACCATTGGCTAATGTGGCTAAGCTAATGAGAGTTGTACTCTACAAAAAAAAAGTCCAGAGGGCCAAACATCTCCTCCTCTTCTGGATCAAAGACTAGCAGTCCCTGTTCCCATATAGGCCCTGGAGGGTGATCCAACTCTAACTCTAGGGCTGGAGGAAAGGGCACATGCCCCTTTGCTCCATCATTATCTCCAGTAATATATGAAGTGGAAACCGATAGCCTCACAACAAGAGGAAAAGGTTCAATAAAGCTGAGCCTCATGTGCAGGGTAGGTCCATGGCCTTTGGTTGCCTCAAGTTCACCACAATATGGTGCCTTCCACCATCCCACCAACAGGAGGAAATTGACCAGAGAGCTCGGTCAGATTGCTTTCAGCAAGGCAAGGGGACAACATCCCCCATAGCTTCCAGGGGGGGAGCTGGCTAGCTGCTTTCAGAGAACAGGTTGCATGGCGCACAAGGATTTGATCTCCAATGTCTTCCAGCTATTTTCTGCCCCGCCTCCTGCATTGGCTGCCAGGGGCACCCACTTGACTCTGACTCCTGGCAGGGCTGGGCTTTGAGATGGGTCTTTAGGACTCCACACGAGTCATCCCTCTCACATCTTACTTCAAAGTGCCTGGTGGAAAGAGAGACAGCTGCTTTTCCCTCGGCTGTAGGAGTCGGGTCACTGACCAGAGAGGTTCCTGAACAAGACAGTGGATGACCCATTATGCTTGCCAGGGGTCTTCCAGTATTTCATTCATCCATTGTTCTCTAATTCTTGAGCTCCATCCCAAACTATATGTGGGTTTCAGATGACATTAGAGTCTGGATTATGACCTTAGTCTCCAGTCAAACCAGGACAGTGAAAAGCCGAACTGCTTGTGGTAGAACCTGAAAATAGAGCTGCATGAAAAATAAAATTTAATTCACCAACATAATGTGGCTCTGTTGGGTCCATTGCTTAATGGCAAAGCACGTGGTTTTCATCCAAGTTCAATCCAGAACTTGGCAGGTTCCTTTTCTGGGAATTATAATTGGCAGTGTCTCTCAGCCACTGTGATTACAATTGGCCATGCTGGCTCAGGCATGCTGGAAGTTACAGTCTCCAAAACAGTAACTTCCCCAAACTCTGGTTCAGTCCCAGGTATAGCTTGAAACCCGGGAGAGCGGTTGCCTCTCAATGTTAAGAATACTAGGCTAGGTGGTCTTACTCATAATTCAGTATGAAGCAACTTTCTGTACTTCCATAGTAGTAAAACGCAGGAGAAAGAGGAGCTGAAGCGTTTGCACTGGATTTGTGTAGCTGGGAGTGGTCCCAATCCTCCTGAGGCACACATTCCTATGAAACACAGTAGCTGTGGCCATCATAGTGAAGACAAGGAAAAGCCCCTTACGTTTACAGGAACTGCTGGCCACAATACGTACATTACGTCAGTCTGTGTGGCTGTACACTCAGACAGGGTTGGGATAGTTCGTATCTAAAATTATTGTGTTTATTTATCCACACTAAATCTGAATTTCACAAGATTGGGAGTTTAAATAATGTTGTTAATTAGCAGGACTCCCCTCTTCATGTCTCCTGAGGCCATAGCTGTCCCGAGAATGCATCTTGAGACTCTGATGAACAACAATGTCTATGCAACTTAACCAGGAGACAGAGCATTCTAATTAATATATATTTTAGCCATCTCCATTCAAAAGATTCGGGGGGTGGGGTAGGATAAACGTGCTTAAGATAATAACCACATAACAGATAATGAGTTTCTAATAGCTTGAATAAATTGGCCGCTAAATAGTATGCAAACTGTAAGCAGCCCCTTGATATTACAACTAACAGTTCCAAATCAGCAAAACTTTGGATGAGCAGCACAGCTGTTATTTATTTTATTTTTATTTATTTATTTATTTCATTTATATCCCGCCTATCTAGTCAATTGTGACCACTCTAGGCGGCTGTTACATCTTGGTGCTGTGGTAGGGCCTTTTTCTTGTAACTGTTCATCATCTGTAGCAGATGGCAGGCCAGAACCAATTGGAGGGCACCAGTTTGTTCACCCTTACCGCCTTTTTCTTGTAACTGTTCATCATCTGTAGCAGATGGCAGGCCAGAACCAATTGGAGGGCACCAGTTTGTTCACCTTTACGTTAAAGGAAAGATATACCGTATTTTTCCATGTATAAGACTATACTTTTGTCTAAAATCTTTAGACTAAAAATTAAGGGTCATCTTATACACGGAAGTAAGCTGAGGAGAGAACAAACACAAGTGGAGGGGAAAGCAGGGATCAAAGCAATCCTGCAGCGCTTTGATCCCTTTCCCCCTACCCTTGCTAAACCCCACTTAGATTTCTTAATTTAGGATTAGAAAAGTGGGGAGGGCATCTTATACATGGGGGCATCTTATGCATGGAAAAATACGGTACATTGTCTCTGGACTAGAACCTGACAATCATCTCCCATGCGTCTTTAAGAGCAGCCTGTGCAAGTATACTCAATATAATATAGCATTACCCCAAATTTACTCAGTTGTTTTGCTACAAGAACTTCCCTTGATGTTCCTCTGGTTCACAGTCCCATGCGGAAAATCCACAGAAGCATATTTTGCTCTTTAAAAGTGAGAAACCAGAAGGACTTCCCATTTGGTTTTAATAAACCTTGGGCGGCCTCCTTCAGAAAAGTGGACCAACACTCAATGTGTTTATTAAATAGATACTATTCAAAGTAATTTGTCTAGAACTGTGGTTTAGCAGAGGATTGCCTCCTGTAACTGCTTGCTTTCTTCTCATTCATCCAAGGTGGTGGTCAACGCCTTGGTAGGCGCCATCCCTTCTATCATGAACGTTCTGCTTGTCTGCCTCATTTTTTGGCTTATCTTCAGCATAATGGGAGTCAACTTGTTTGCCGGGAAGTTTGGCAAGTGCATTAACAAGACGGAAGGGGACGAGCCTTTGAACTACACAATTGTCAACAACATGAGCGATTGCCAAAGCATGAACGACACGGGAGAGTTGTACTGGACGAAAGTAAGAGTCAACTTCGATAATGTGGGCGCCGGCTATTTGGCTCTCCTGCAAGTGGTGAGTTCCATATTCCTTCATGGTATTATTAGAACTGTACCTTGGATAGAAAAGAAATTACACTGGTGACTGTACCATTTGTAGCCAATCAATCTGGTTGGCTCATTAAGGTAGTCTTGATATAGATGCTTGGAGGTGGGTAACAACAGCCCTGTGGGAGGGGGAAACGAACCTTTAATAGATATTTTTAAAAATTATAAATACTTTCATTGCAAAAGGACCCAGCGAAATCCTCTCCAATTCTCTCATACATTGGGGAAGGCCTCTTCTATCAGCATGGCTCCCATCCAATGAGCTTATAAGCATTTGTACTTAATTTACAGTCTTTGAAAAAAATAAATTCTGATGGCTCTTTAATTTAAGGAACCTGCTGACTAATTGGAAAATAAAATAACTAGGGATACTGTCATTTGTTACTTCTGTTAATTACTGTTATCGTTATGAGGATGTATCCTTACTATGCGGAGGTGGGAATATCTTATGATAATAGAGTGGGCTTGAACTTTATCTAATTACTTTTAATTTTCCAAACTCCTGGCAAAAATGCTATTTTCTGTTCTGTCGAAAACCTACGATCGACTTGTTTCAGTGATTTATCTTTTATGATGTATGCCAGAAACAGGCAATTGGTGACTTTCCAGATGTCGTTGAACTGAAACCCACATCAGTTCTGGCTATCATAGCCAGTGGTGGGGCATGATGGAAGTTGTAGTTCAACAATATCTACCTTGTCTGGCAGAGAAGACAGAATAACAAGAAGGTTTTTATGCTGGAGGTGCTTGCTCCAATCCAGACATTTGGGTGCACTTGAGTGCATGCAAAATAGTCATGCATGCCCAGGTTCCCCACTCCACCCTTTTGTTTAATTGATGAGAGCTAATTTGCACATGTACATGAATACACCTGAAGATAAGAGCAAGGAATTCTGTGCGCACAATGACATTCCTTCCACTGGAAGCAAGAATTAAAAGGGAAGAACCATCTTGACCCATCTTATCTGAGACAGCAGTTCACTAGTCTACATGTTTAAAACTCCAACACCTTGTTTCTTAGTTTCTGGAACCATTTTCTGCTCTACTGTATAACCCAACCTTCTGTTGAATTTACTAGGGCATTTCATAAATCGATGTCACGGTGCACCCGTTTTTCCCCTAGACACTGCACAAAGTTGGGAGAGCCAACATTTTTATCTGTTTATTTTTTTCCTCCTTGCAATTAGTAATATTGAGGCAAGAGACTTAAAATAGCAAGTGGTGCTCTGAAATGAAATAGGAAGCGAAAAATACAGGATCTTCAGTGGGTTTGTGATGGATCACCAGCAAGTGTCCCTGTTAAAACTCTTTGAACGTGTTGGGTACAAGAGGACTAAAACACTCAAGTTGTTTGTGATTAGTGATGCATTTTAAGATAGTATCCAATGCAGAATTCAGTTTCTATTCATGACAACTTTTTTCTGGCCTTCATAGCAGAAAATACTCTTATCAACTGACAGACCAACTTACCTGTCTACCTACCTACTTACCTTTCATACCTTGGGTTATAGACCAATGGTTCCCAACCTTGGGTCTCCAGATGTTCTTGGACTAAAACTCCCAGAACCCTTCACCATTAGCTGTGCTGGCCAAGATTTCTGGGAGTTGTCGTCCGAGAACATCTGGGGACCCAAGGTTGGGAACCACTGTTATAGAGCAATGGTTCCCAAACTTGGGTCTCCAGATGTTATTGGACTAAAACTCCCAGAACCCTTCACCATTAGCTGTGCTGGCCAAGATTTCTGGGAGTTGTCGTCCGAGAACATCTGGGGACCCAAGGTTGGGAACCACTGCTCTAGGAGATCATTGGAAAGTTGAACCAACAGCCTGCCTGCAGCAGCCCATGACAGGCACCCAGCTGCAAACATCTGGTGCCACACCCTTGATGAAGGAAACAGTCCAGTGATAGCAGTGAGCCAGTGATGGCCCTATGCCAACACGGGGCCAATATTTTCTCCCAGATTTCCAGCTGATGTTGTGCTGGCTGCTTCCAGCAGCAGGAACTCAACTGGCGCCAGCCCTGGTTCCAAGTGCAGAAGGAGAGCGTAGGCCTACCGTGTGATCTGTGGAGCACCAGGCTTAGGTCTCTCAGAGCAGAAGTGGGTTAGCAAGGCCTGCCAAACAGCAGCTCTCCTGGGGGAGTCAGGGAGCTGGAAATAGGGCTATCTGTTCTTTACTCCTGTATCCAAACTCTGGCCCCAATGCAGTGGTTCAGGGGTCTAGGTCCTCACCATGCATTCCAAGCTTTGGAGGCTGAAAATAAGGGTGCCCCATGAAACCCCAGTTCTCAATGCCAAACATAAGCCCTCAATCCCAGTTTTACACAAGGCGGGGAAGTTATTAGCTGCCTCCAGGAATGATGCTGTCTGGGGGAAAAACAGTCCTTTGAAATAGTGCAGCGTGCTCGCCGCCAACCACTGTTCCCCGTCACAGCCTGCTTCTGCCAAAGGATCGTGTCCTGACTTACTTCCAAATGGTTATCTTCCTCTGTTTCTCCAACACTTTTATTTCCCTTGTATTTAACTTCCTAGTTAGCCACAGTCTGCTGGTTTTAAACCTTGAGCACAATATGCCACACTTCCGTTCTGACCAAGGGCCTCATCGTCATCGGCCGTAAGCTTGCCTTGAGATCAATTTATCAGCTTTAATCTCACCCTGCCCCCCCTACCCTGCCACCCAACATACACGGAGGGAGAGGGAGCGAGGATTTAGTAGCAGACATTCTTTTTGCTGGATCCTTTCCAAGAAGGGATAATATCACATGACACTCCGGTGAAGATTTTACCACCTCCAGATCTGG